CCCCCCCCCCCCCCCCCCCCCCCCCCCCCCGGAGATCCTGTACTGTTCACATACTTCAAAATAAAACACTTATGTGATATCAGACTTATATGACTCTCAGAAGGCCAGGAGATATTACCACATACTGGGAGAAAAACAGAGGCATAATAGGCAGCTAAGCATCTGGGACAGCAGGATGTATAGGGCAGTGTTGATTTCTAGCTACCACTACACTGCAGCCACTTCTAGCTGCCACTACACTGGTAGGGTCCAGGGGAGAAGCCCAGAATGGGAGGGTGGGTTCTCACCTTTCAGTCCTCCAGGTCTCTGCTGGTCTAAACATGTAACTGTTCCAAACCTGAGCTAGCACTAACACCGATCAACATTTTTTCAGCTCACAGTGTAATATGTAATAAGGCCATTATAGTCAATTTCCTTGAGAAATAAGAAAGTGAGAGAAGGTTGGGAAATATAAGCCACTAAGGTAGTCCTAAATTCTCTCAAGTCATGATGAGAAACATGGAAGTCTAATGACAGTGCACATTCCATAAGATGGAAGTAAGAAAATTGTAGGATACCATTCTTCTGATGGCTGATTACTTCGATTATTCTGATGGCTTCTCCTCAGCAGTATAAGTAGTAAACTCTTCTCTTTTTCTACCATGTATTTTTCTAATCCTGTATTTTGTTGTTGATAGGTGTTCTCTCTATAATCGTAACAGACCTTATGGTTAATTAGAGACAAAACAGCATAAAGACACATAGTAGCAGTAGTAGCAGCATGCATCTGTCTTGAGACAAAAGATTTGTGCTGAGTGAGGCATCAGCTCATCGAACATCTGTAAGTGTGGCTGTAGAGTCCAATTCCTGAAAGACAGTCCCTACTGCATTTATCATGTGAAGTTCATACCTAACAGTCCTGAATGTAGTGTGGAGTTCTTGCTGAGGTTTCTTCTTTCCTCTGCATGTTGGGCTCTTTTTTCCTCAAAAGCCTTCATTCCATACTTAATAGGCTGTTTGCAAGTGCTATGATCCTGATCAATCTTCTCCCAGTCATTTGTTCATTGCTTTCATATCACTCTTGCAAACATCTTTGAAATGGAGATAAGGACATTGACATGGTCTTCTTCCTCTGAAGAGTTCTCCATACAAGAGATCCTTGGGTATATGGCCATCATTCATTCTCTGCATATGACTGAGCCATCAAAATTGATCTTGACTGAGAAGAGAATGGATTCTTAGAATGTGGGCACATTCCAACCCCTGAGCATGGGCGACTTGGTGGCACCAGAAAATTCCTAGAACGAGGTGACGGCAACGTAAGTGGATGCTGTTGAGGTACTTTTATTAAGTAGAGTATGTGGTCCAAAATTCACAACTGTTCAAAAAAAAAAAAAAAAAAGGGGAGGGGGGG